AAATGTCTTGCTTGGGGAGATGTAGTCGACTAGTTTTACTTCTGGTATAAAATGTCTAGCTTGGGGTGATGTAGTCGACTAGTTTTACTTCTTGTACAAAAATGTCTTGCTTGGGGAGATGTAGTCGACTAGTTTTACTTCTGTTATAAAATGTCTAGCTTGGGGTGATGTAGTCGACTAGTTTTACTTCTTGTACAAAAATGTCTTGCTTGGGGAGATGTAGTCGACTAGTTTTACTTCTGGTATAAAATGTCTAGCTTGGGGTGATGTAGTCGACTAGTTTTACTTCTGGTATAAAATGTCTAGCTTGGGGTGATGTAGTCGACTAGTTTTACTTCTGGTATAAAATGTCTAGCTTGGGGTGATGTAGTCGACTAGTTTTACTTCTGGTACAAAAATGTCTTGCTTGGGGTGATGTAGTCGACTAGTTTTACTTCTGGTACAAAAATGTCTTGTTTGGGGTGCTGTAGTCGACTAGTTTTACTTCTGGTACAAAAATGTCTTGCTTGGGGTGCTGTAGTCGACTAGTTTTACTTCTGGTACAAAAATGTCTTGCGTGGGGTGATGCAGTCGACTAGTTTTACTTCTGGTACAAAAATGTCTTGCGACAAGTTTTACTTCTGGTACAAAAATGTCTTGATTGGGGTGATGTAGTCGACTAGTTTTACTTCTGGTACAAAAATGTCTTGCTTGAAGTGCTGTAGTCGACTAGTTTTACTTCTGGTACAAAAATGTCTTGCTTGAAGTGCTGTAGTCGACTAGTTTTACTTCTGGTACAAAAATGTCTTGCTTGAAGTGCTGTAGTCGACTAGTTTTACTTCTGGTACAAAAATGTCTTGCTTGAAGTGCTGTAGTCGACTAGTTTTACTTCTGGTACAAAAATGTCTTGCTTGAAGTGCTGTAGTCGACTAGTTTTACTTCTGGTACAAAAATGTCTTGCTTGAAGTGCTGTAGTCGACTAGTTTTACTTCTGGTACAAAAATGTCTAGCTTGGTGTGATGTAGTCGACTAGTTTTACTTCTGGTACAAAAATGTCTTACCTGGTGTGATGTAGTCGACTAGTTTTACTTCTGGTACAAAAATGTCTTGCTTGAGGTGATGTAGTCGACTAGTTTTACTTCTGGTACAAAAATGTCTTGCTTGAGGTGATGTAGTCGACTAGTTTTACTTCTGGTACAAAAATGTCTTGCTTGGAGTGATGTAGTCGACTAGTTTTACTTCTGGTACAAAAATGTCTTGCTTGGTGTGATGTAGTCGACTAGTTTTACTTCTGGTACAAAAATGTCTTGCTTGTGGTGCTGTAGTCGACTAGTTTTACTTCTGGTACAAACATGTCTTGTTTGGGGTGATGTAGTCGCTAAATGAGAATTCGTGTAGTGATTGGTTGATTTCCCTGACGTCACGAGACAGAGACGTGTGGCGATTGTGGTTAGGTCAAAGTTCAACGAGTGACCATTGGTTCCCTGACGACCTTGTCGGTGACTGTGATTGGGTCAGTAATGGCGGCTAAGTCAGGAGCTACCAGAAATGACGTTTCACATTTCTAACTGTAATTTTACGTTGCTGTAGCAAAAAGTGAACATCATACTACACTACCCTAGGCTATTGACCGCTAGTCTTTACGGTTGATTAGCTCAGTAATTTAAGATAATTAGTATTTCCTTCATTTACAATGTTTTTCCTTCACCTTGTCAGATCAATTCCTGCGCACATTAACACATGGTAGTTAACTTTTCATGTCAAACAACTTCACCTATTAATACATAATACACAGATGCCCGTTACTTAGTGGGTCTATATTTTTGTTCACACCTTGATTTATTAATGAATACAATATAAATCAAACATATAATACAATAAAAAACGTTTAATTCACATAACACGTTTTTAATAATAATAATAATAAAATAAAATAAACCACCATGCTCACACCCGCCCCCATCATGCTCACCCCACCCCACTCCATCATGCTCACCCCACCCCACACTACCCCATCATGCTCATCCCACCCCACACTACCCCATCACGCTCAATCCACCCCACCCCACCCCATCCTATCATGCTCACCCCACCCCATTATGCTCACCCCACCCTACCCCTCATGCTCACCCCACCCATCATGCTCACCCCACCCATCATGCTCACCCCACCCCATCATGCTCACCCCAACCCACCCCATCATACTCACCCCACCCATCATGCTCACCCCACCCCATCATGCTCACCCCACCCCACCCTACCCCATCATGCTCACCCCACCCCATCATGCTCACCCCAACCCACCCCATCATACTCACCCCACCCCATCATGCTCACCCCAACCCACCCCATCATACTCACCCCACCCATCATGCTCACCCCACCCCATCATACTCACCCCACCCCACCCTACCCCACCATGCTCACCCCACCCCACCCTACCCCATCATGCTCACCCTACCCCATCATACTCACCCCACCCCACCCTACCCCATCATGCTCACCCCACCCCACCCCACCCCATCATGCTCACTCACACCACCCCATCATGATCACCCACCCCACCCCATCATGCTCACCCCACCCCACCCCATCATGCTCACCCCACCCCACCCCATCATGCTCACCCCACCCCACCCCACCACACCATACCCCATCATGCTCACCCACCCCACCCCACCCCATCATACTCACCCCACCCCACCCCACCCCATCATACTCACCCCACCCCACCCCACCCCATCATGCTCACCCCACCCCACCCCATCATGCTCACCCCACCCCACCCCATCATGCTCACCCCACCCCACCCCATCATGCTCACCCCACCCCACCCCATCATGCTCACCCCACCCCACCCCACCCCATCATGCTCACCCACCGCACCCCATCATGCTCACCCCATCGCACCCCATCATGCTCACCCCACCCCACCCCATCATGCTCACCCCACCCCACCCCATCATGCTCACCCCACCCCACCCCATCATGCTCACCCCACCCCACCCCATCATGCTCACCCCACCGCACACCATCATGCTCACCCCACCCCACACCATCATGCTCACCCCACCCCACCCCATCATGCTCACCCCACCCCACACCATCATGCTCACCCCACCCCACACCATCATGCTCACCCCACCCCACCCCATCATGCTCACCCCACCGCACCCCATCATGCTCACCCCACACCATCATGCTCACCCCACCCCACCCCACCCCATCATACTCACCCCACCCCACCCTACCCTTCATGCTCACCCACCCCACCCTACCCCATCATGCTCACCCCCACCCCACCCCATTGATAAATGAAATTTTACATGTAAGTAAAAGATATAATTGTCTACCTTCTGTTAAATGTTGAGTAATTTCCGTTAACCGGAAGTACTAATTTACGCTATTTCCCACCATTCGGGCATTTGTCGCATTCGGGCAAGTGTCCATTCGGGCAAGTGTCCATTCGGGCGTTTGTCGCATTCGGGCAAGTGTCCATTCGGGCATTTGTCGCATTCGGGCAAGTATCCATTCGGGCATTTGTCGCATTCGGGCAAGTGTCCATTCGGGCGTTTGTCGCATTCGGGCAAGTGTCCATTCGGGCATTTGTCGCATTCGGGCAAGTGTCCATTCGGGCATTTGTCGCATTCGGGCAAGTGTCCATTCGGGCGTTTGTCGCATTCGGGCAAGTGTCCCTTCGGGAAATCGGCCTTCGGGCAAACGGCATTCGTGAAGTTGTTTGATTTTGGAGTTATCTCTTCTAGAAGAGTGGCTGTCCCCAGCTAACGAGCCTCATCTGCTTGATAATCAGCGTCCAATTTATAAAGTTTACAGAAAAGTAGCTATGATCATTGAATAAACTATTCTTTAGGCCTATATTTTATATTCTTATAAAACATTCAGTCGGCGTCCAAATTCTCAAGTTTACATATTTGTTGCAAAGATCATTAAACGCACTAGTCGATATGCCTATATTCTCCTGAGTTTTTCTAGGGTCTGAAAGGTTTACGACAAAGTTCTGAAAGACACTTGCCCGAATATCGTTTGCCCAAAGGCCGATTTCACGAATAGACATTTGCCCTGATGCGACAAATGCCCAAATATATATATATATATATATATATATATATATATATATATATATATATATATATATATATATATATATATATATATATATATATATATATATATATGCATATATGTACTGTACGGACTTGTAGTCTACATCTAACTTATGAAACCGTAAGAAAAAGTGACGGGTAAAAATCGGGGGGGAGGGGTGTGAGTAGCTAAATTTAACCTCCCCTGGAAAAATTATTAAACATTTTAATAGATTCGTTTTTTTTTTTTTTCGAATTTTTTAAAATGTTCTAATTTTTCTAGGAATATAAACATAAATATTATTTTACATCGATTTGTTTAATACGTTTTAGCAATGTCTGTGTATTTACTATTTAATTTACAATCTTTTGTTGACGTATGCAAAAGTGTACAATATTTGCCGAGTATAAAAAACTCAAGTCGTTACCAAAGGCGTAGCGACCTTCCCGGCGCCCGGGGACAAATATACAATTTGCACCCCCCCCACCGCTCAAGCTTTCGATTTGCACCCCCCCCCCCCAAAAGAACTTTCGATTTGCACCCCCCTAAAGCTTTCGATTTCTTTTTCCAATCCATTTTGGCGCCCCCTAAGGTCGGCCCCGGAGACATATGTCGTCACCCCTCGCTACGCCTCTGGTCGTTACAAAAATAGACCTTACTCCAATAGTATAATAAATCACGGTGTGTACTCTCATGGTTCCAGAATCTATAGCGAAGTCGGAAGATACGAGAAAGTTTAGGGGAGATCACTCACACTTTAATATTTTAACTATTTTTTTTCCGAAACTAACTTGACACCGAGAATGAGGAAACGACAACATATAAGTTTTTTTATACAATTTATTACTCATAAAACGAAACAGAACGAACATATGATTTATTTTCGCTTCTGCTTCTACATTTTACTATTTTTTTCTTACCTTGAATTAAAGTATATAATCCTTCCGTAAAATTTATTACATAAATTTATTTTTTCCCCCACAAGTTTACCCTGTCGAAATTTCAAATAAAATATCCCTGCCTGATCTGTTTTATACTTTGGAGGATTGAATTGGGTCTCTGATTTCCATAATGTTTGTAGCAGATTCAACGAAAGACTGATGTCCCTTACATCTACGTGTAACCACACGGTTTATCTTTTCTCAGATAACTCTTAAAGTTCTCTGGCCAGGATGTCCTGTGGAAGAAAAATTATTGATGAAAGACGATACTTTCCTTTTACTAACTGAATATATTTTTACGGTACAGTTATATATTAAGATTCTGACCTGAGGATTTACTATCGGTCAAATGTGTAAAAAAAAAATCTCCCTTGAACTCTCTCGTATATTCATGTCACAGTAGGTAGATGGCACTTACGGGGCTATGGAAATGTTTTTCTTTTTAAATAATTATTACTTCTAACTACCGAAAATCGTTCAAAACTTGAGAGAAACCTTCGTCCAACGAACTTAAATTGTACTTAAGTTTTTATGTTTTTAAGAAACCGGTAGTAGAGCATGTTCCATTTCCAGATACAGCAAATTGCTCAAAATTCAAAAGAAAACTACAAAGTTGATTAATACTTATATAAAATTAAACATAACTGAATAGGTACTCAGGTCATCGTGTTTACATAAACACACATACCCACCCACATATAATCGTTGCATATGATCGTTTAGCATGTAAACATCCGCCATTGTGGTGTACAGGTCCACATTCAAAATGGCGATCGGTGCTGTTAAAGGTAGTGATACTCGAAGTGGCAGATCTAAAGGGATTCCTTTATTTCGACTGCCAAGGGTTTTATTAAACCAAGGTGATAGAGATCGGCAGTCAACAGAATGTAGACGATGTCATTTTTTTGGCAAATATTTATCGAAGCGGTGTCAGTGAAGCAGCCGCAACAACAACAAAAATGCGAATATGTTCCCGACACTTTGTTTTTGGTAGGGGCAGTGTGATGACGCAAGTTTAAGTTATAGAGGTCAAGTAGAAGATAGCAGTAACAGAGCATAACTATTACAACACTATTAAATTACATAAGAGATGCTATGTCTGGTTGGCTAAGTGCAGCACTTCATGTCACCTACAAAGAGGTGACGTTTTGTGATGGGTTAGAAAGAAGTAGGGGCTGGGTATCATGCAGAGGCGTAGCGACCCTTCCCGGCGCCCGGGGACATACTTTCAATTTGGCGCCCCCCTCGGGAGCAAATTTTCGATTTGCACCCCCCTCGAACTTTTCATTTGCACCCCTCCCCCTCAAACTTTCGATTTGCACCCCCCCCCTCGAACTTTTCATTTGCACCCCCCCCCCCCTCAAACTTTCAATTTGCACCCCCCCCTCGAACTTTTCATTTGCACCCCCCCTCAAACTTTCAATTTGGCGCCCCCCCTAAGGTCGGCGCCCGGGGACATATGCCCCCCCCCGCCCCCCCCCCTCGCTACGCCTCTGGTATCATGTATCATGGAGGCGATAAATTCTGAGAGGAGGGCAGTGGTACTGATTCGTCTTTGGTCCCCACCCTGCCGGACTATGGTGGTTATAAAATACATAACATACCATCTATGTTGGGCTGAGATCTAAGAACAGTAATCCATGTTACCTACATAGAGATGCGTTTTTAAATTGGGATAGAAACAAGTAGGGGCTGGGTACCATGTAGTTAAGAAATTTTGATGAGGAAGCATCGGTATGTGTCTGATTACTTCCCTGCTGGATCACGAGGGCCATAAATTACATTATATGCTACCCAGATTGGCTGAGATCTAAGAACAGCAGTGGTTGTTACCTAAGAAGTAGGCTTGCAGTTTTATTGGTGGTTTTGTAAGGGTTAAGCGGTATCACGTTTGTTACTGTTGTGTAGATCTATTGTTACTAAATCTTGTACTTAACTAGTTAATCTAATAATTAAGAACGAAGAAGAAGAAGAAGTTAATCTAAAATCAATTCTAACGAGATATAAAAAAATCTATATATTACTGGGTTTTTTTCTCAACACGAATATAAGGATCTTCAATTCCTAAAAGTTTTTTTACGTATAGTTCCTGTTCTGCGAATGAACACATTTTGAGACACTCCCAGTGATGCGCAACAGCTGATTGTTTACTGGCGGTGTTCACCAACGTGGCGGCGGACGGAGGTATCACATTATTTAGGTCACGTGTTTGCATGGACTCTATATGCCTACATACAAACAGACAGGATTGTCTCTAGTCCTCATCCCACCCCCTCTCTCGCTCTCCAGACATGCGCAACATTGCGTGCCCGCCCCCCCCCCCCCTCCCATTTGGAAAACTGTATCTTTCGGGAAGTCTATAACCGTCACTACGCAACGGGTTGGCTCGTTCTTTAGACTACGCATACCAAAAAGTAATTCCCTGTCAAGAAAGACACTGTACTGTTTGCATAGTCAAATAAAATTTACAAACAGTACAGTATCTTTCTTGACAGGGAATTACCTGTGTAGCGCGCATCTAAGAAGACTATAGCGCCATCATGTGTGCTGCATAAATTACTGGCAACGGCCGTCGTTTCTCCATCCCTTCTAAGGCTAAGCCGCCAGTTTTTTTGAAACTATGAAACCCTGCTCTCGGTGCAAATTCTAGCTCTTGCTTGTGAAAATTTCACCTGGTTTTGTTCTAACCTATCCAAAATAACTCTATATAAAAACTTACCGCGATCTCCTAAAATTTTGACAATCCTACCATATAAATTATATAAAACATAAATAAGTGGTTTCTAAACAAAAATACCTACAACATGCAAACAATGTTAAAATATCATTACGTACACCATAATATTGGTTTGATCCTAAACATCACTAAGATATTCTAATTAAAGAACTATCCTAATAGTTCATCCAATTTTCATGCTATATAAACATCTATTTATTAAGATACGAATTTTTCTTCTTGTCCTACTAAGCACAATTGACTCATTCATAACAAATTAAATACAATTCTTAAGTTATCGTGTTCACACACACATTCACACACAGTTTTTACAACTCATGGAGGTGTACAACGTCGAGATTTGTTATAATATCGATATATTTTTTGCATGATAATAATACTTCCTTTACGCTCCGTATACGAGGAGAAAATAAAAAGAGATCCCCTTTAAAGGTTCTCAAATATTCTTATCTAACACTTACGGGGATGGCAACTTCTGATATAGACATGATTTTTAATCATTTTTTAAGTAATTAAAGCTGTTACGCCCCATTACCAATTAAAATTCAGAAGTAAAACCGTTATAAACCCTTTAAAATAACATTTATGAGAATCTCGTATTTTTCTAGGTGCCTACCGTACCTGAGCTATCTCCTAACCAAATATCAACTTTTTGTCGCATCTGCAAGTGCTCGATCTAAATCTTGCACTATAAAACACGTAGAGTGTATATAAGGCCTATATATAAAAGGTCAGTTTTCGATCACTTTAAACTCGATTATTGAAATGATTCTAATTTTCCCGATAAAAAGAAAGTGAAAAGCAAACTTTGTCAAGGTAAATTTCCCTACAACTTACCTGTAAGAACCCGATCTAATAGGTACGAGTAACAAACAAACCAAACAAACATTACAAACTTTGCTTTTATAGATAGAGATAAAAAATAAAACAGAATAGTAAATAAAACAGCAATAGTCTCGATGGATTATTGAAAACACAATCAGAAAAAATACTGGCTACAGATCGAACAGGTCCTTGATTTGAACCCTCAGGGTGAACGACACAAAGGCCGACACAACAAGAGGTGTCCGTGTCGTGGGATCCGAGTTCAAATCCCACAGGTAGATGAGGCTCGATATCTGGAGAGATAGTTACTCATCTAGGATAGAAAACTTCAAAATGTACGCCAGCCTTGTAGTTTGTTCTTTGGTGGACGAAGGCTATTGAATCTAACCCAGAAAAAACAGTCTAAAATCGGAGACAACGGCCTATATGGCGAATAAAATGTTGACACATAATTCTTTACTTTGATGGAGGAAGTCCCATCCAACATTAAAATTAAGAACGAAGAAAACGAAGAAGACATAAGAAGACATGGCGACTAAACGTGCTTAAGGAAAGTAGAAAACACAGGAAACAGCTGAAAAAAAACGACAGAGATAGTGGGGATCGGAAAGCTTTGACAAAGGCTCTAATGTTCCGTAAGCAACGAAAAGGAACAACGAAAATTACGTTCTGAAACGTTTTTAATTCTCCTGACTTAAATTAAAAGGAGTAATGAATACCTACACTCGACTTTGCTTGAATTGACAATACGTGACCCGAGTTTTAGTTGCAGTGTAAAAAACTCCAGTGCAGTTGAAAATGACCGTCGCTGGGTTTTTTACCTTGTGTAAAGAAGAAACAGCATTTGTTACATACGCAGAGTTAAATTACATAACATCGTTTTATAAGCACAGATATGCACTACTTTTAAAGCTATATGATAAGTTTTTAAAAAAACAGGTGAAGTAGAGCTCATTCGTTTCAGTGACCTCGAAACGTGAACAGATAGTGTGGTCAATACTATGCCCAGCTTCCTTTGATTTCCTTAAGATTAGTCAGGTACACTTCCGAGCTTGATGGGCTAAAGGTCGTCTTATGAATTAGAACCTGGGATTCGAAATCTAGACTTTTCGATTAGCAGTCAAACGTTCTACCACACAGACGAATATGTGAAAACTCTGTCGATATGTTAGGTCTATGCTCAATGCTTATTTTTTGCCTACGCTCTATGCTCAATGGTTACTTCTTATCTTGGTTCTATGATCAGTGCTTACTTTTTGTCTTACCTCTATGCTCAATGCTTTTATTTTGCCTACGCTCTATGCTCAATGCTTACTTCTTATCTTGGTTCTATGATCAGTGCTTACTTTTTGTCTTAGCTATATGCTCAATGCTTTTATTTTGCCTAAGCTCTATGCTCAATGCTTACGTTTTGTCTTAGCTCTATGCTTAATGCTTACTTCTTGTCTTAGTTCTATGTCAATGCTTACTTTTTGTCTTAGCTCTATGCTCAATGCTTAATTATTGCCTAAGCTCTATGCTCAATGCTTACTTCTTGACTATTTCTCATTAATATTTATTGTCTCTTTGTAAAGGGATGAGCATAAAAAGACGTTATTTAAAATAATGCATTTAGGTAAGGATATGATGTATACATAAAAGTATAAAATGATCTTCCTACCCCGTCGTCGCATGGAGGTGCATTGGATTGAAATTGATCACTAGCTTGACCCAACCGAAGAAATTTTACATCACAGTTGGGATTGTACGAAACCATGCTGGCTTTTAGCTCATTTTCTAAAAAATTCTTGTTTATGTTGGCAACTGAAGGTGCGCTTTAGAGAAAATAGATTTATTTTACGTATACGCTAGCTATAGATATATGTTTTTACAAGCTTTTTTTAAACTCACTTCTTCTGTCTGTCGTTAGTCGTCAGTCGTCAGTCTGTCTAGATCGAAACGACCGAGCGTAATTGCAGGCACTTCTAATTGACAGATACGGTTCGTAGTTGGTACATGGGTCAAGACATGAACACAATGCAACATGACATTAAATTTGACTTAATTGGTTGCCTAATTAATTTTTTATGAATTAATTAAAATTGAGTCCAAATTAGTAGGCTGTCTCATGTAACTATTCCGCATTATTATACACGCGTCATCACGTTCATTAGGTGCGCAATGGTTTTTAGTCATGCAACTCTAGTGTAAATAAAACATTTAAAGTACTAGAAAAAAATGA